ACCAACTTTGCCATCTTGAGTCAGTGTTACTGTATGCCATTTTCCATCATTAAGCGCATCGGATCCAGCAACCTGAACCGGATTTGCAACAATTCCATTGAACATCAGATTTGCATGTACACGACCACCAACCAGACGTATAACTACGTAATCTTTGTAGTCAGCCTGCCCAAATGTGTTATTGTTGCCCATTGGTCCGTTGTATAGCAGAAGACCATCCGATTGTCTGAAAAAAATTTCGAAATTTCGAATAAAAAGTTACATTTTCGGAAAAAACTTCAATATTAATTTGCTGGTTTAGAACCTTACTTACTTTGTTAAAAATTGTAGCGAAATATTCAGTGAAGTACAGGCTGGAACCGGTTTGAACCACGCGAATCCTTGTCCATCAAACGAGCGAGTGGTACCCTGGCAGCGGAATCCTTTCAGAGCGTTGTTACGACATTCGCAGAAGAAACCCGGATATGTATTATGGCATACACCCGAATTAAGACACAGATTAGCCTCGCATGACGAAGGTGGCGTGAACACAGGACACACACAGGTATCGTTGGACCAAGCATTCACACCAACAACCACTGTTTGATTAGCTGATACCACAACACCTTCCTGAAAAAGAGAACCATATTACCACAATGCCTTTCCTAAAAAAGAATCAGGACTCGATAAAATTGCTAGTATTTCTGAAATACGCAGTAAAGTATACTGTCTTATGATCGCGAATAACTCGGCAACTCTTTTGCCAAATTCCAGGCAGAAGTGGTCATACGTGAAAAAAAGGACGGGGTACACGCTCAAGACAAGTAATACACCACAAATTTTCGCACTAATGAGATCTAGCTGAGGTGCTGAAAAGAAATGTGTACAACTTTGTGGACCAAAACATTTCCTTTTTCTATTTTCGTTCCCAATTATTCATTTTAAGATTTACGGAGCATTTTATTATCTTTGCTTTTTATTTAGAACTCATTTTACGGAACATTTCAATGACTCATCTTACTGTCATATTAGACTCATCTTCCGTTTTACGAAGATAGAAGGATGCGACCAATATGTATGTACGCACATCGGTAACATTGAAAGCTTAATGCTAACAGCTTTTTCAGGAGGCTGTAGAAGAATCAATAACTTTCAACAACTAATTCAGCGGAACCACTGTGATTTTTGTGGACATTAGTAGATGTGTTTCCGTGTTTCGAAGGATTTGGTGGAAGCGTCCAGGATTTTTTGTTTTTCGATCAAAATAGCGCTATTTTAACAAAATGACTTTGCCTTTAGTTTCCTTCCACATCCCCCTCGCTCCGAACAACTACTCCCTTTTCGTCCTTTCTGTCCCGCTATTACTAAAATTTTCTTTTGGGCTCGTTGCTTCAATGGACATAAGAGCAGGATACATGGGTCTACTTATTCAAGCAGAAAATTCCATGAAAAAAAGTGGAACGGACCTCATTAGCATTATGTACCGTCTGACATCCTTTATCGCATACTGTAA